GAAAATTCCATAGTTGCAGATTGCAGTCAAAGCACTGGCATACAAAAATACTGCATAAAATTAGGTCTGGTGTGGTGGCACAGAGGTGACCCGTTCAGGTGACACTGGATCCACACGAGGGATTGTGGATTCAGCTCCTTAGCTGATAGAAACATGCTGGGTTTGCATATACTCCAGAGCATGACTGGCTGGAGGACTGGGGGAAGAAGATTGTGTCAATAGGACCTAGCGGGGTACCTGTCTCTCTCTCTTTCATGAAAGATATAAAATAAATAAACAAACTTTTAAAATATTAAATACAGGGGGCAGGTAGTAGTGCAGTGGTACTGCAGCTGGACCCACATGTATAATAAGCTCCTGGGTTTGCATCCTGGGACCTCCCTGGGCATGCCCTCTGAGACTGGATGTGGATGGTGGCAGGAAGGCCCTATTGCAGCTACCCGTCTCTCTCTGTCTGTCTTTCATTAAATAAATAAAAATAAACAACACATTATTTATTTATGTAGAGGTTTGTGCCTTAGGGTGCATGTGCTTGCCTAAGAGAGAGACAGAGACAGTGGGAGGGAAAGTGAGAAACCAACCCCCAGGGGAATGGCTATGCTGCAGTCCCTTCTTCATTCTCCTCTGGGGATTTTAGGCACACATGCACACCTGCCCAGCGTGAGTTTGAAGCTACCGGATCCAGGACTTGAACTGCAATCAGCCATGCGGGAGTCCAATGATGTAATCGCTATGCCATCTGTAGGTCAACATAAAATTTATTTTAAGGATATTGTATGAATTACCTTTAGGCTATGTGTATAAGGTACATACGAAATTAATTTTGTTTAGACTTAGGTCTGATCCCGAAAATATTCCATTATACATATGGAAATGTTCTAAACCCCAAAACACTTCTGGTCCCAAGCATTTCAGATGAGGGGTACTCCACCTATAGTAACCAACATGGAAGCCATTCCTGGATGAAGACACTCTCTCCCCTAGTTTTTATTCTTAAAGAGATTCTGCAGCAGTTTAGGATCCAAAATGGAAGTCCATTCCTCTGCCCTCTTGGGCCTCAGCAAACCCTCTCCTCTCTTTGAACACAAGGGTGGCCCCTGGACGAATGTGGAGTGAAGACAGTTGGAGCTAACAAGCAGACAGACAGCAGAGCGGGAGGTATTCGCTTTCTAGGCAGGAGACAGAGCAGCAAAGACATACATGGGTGTTTTACTGAGGGAAAAATAAGGTTTGTAGATGCTGGAAAGATGACTTATGCTAATTAAGCACGGAAAACCAGCAGTCTGGAGAGGATAGGAGGGGTCCACAGGAATTGTTAAAACAAATTGCTTTATTCATCACCAGGAAAGAGTCATCAATGGTTTAGGTCCAGGAAGGGTCCTTCTCAGACAGCATTTACGGCTCTTAAACAGCTTTGGCTGACTAGGAGAGATGGAGTCAAACCCTGGGCCAACTCCTGTTTTAAGGGGAGACTCTCTCTCTCATGCTAATTTTGCTCAGACTGATCTCAGCCAGCTTGTGGGGGACCCGCATGCTGCTCTGTCTTCAGGCTGGGTGCTTAGCTGAGCCTAGGATGTCCCCCTGTTAGGGGGTCAACACACGACCTTCTTTCCCTTTCAGGCCACGTAAGGGTGAGAGTTTGGTTTAGGAGCAAATAGAGGCAGGAGGGGGAGCGCTTCCACATGCTTTTGTTTTGGGCTGCCAAAGTCTCATTCTTCTAACTCCCAGAATTCCAGAAGTGTTATTGTTTGGAAGAAAGAATATCACATCTTTTTCACCTTCTTTTTTATTTTTATAAAAAATAATTTACTTAATTTTATTTATTATTATTATTTTTAAATTTGCTGTAGTGCATGCATACTCACCAGTGAGAGAGAGAGAGAGAGAAAGCCTTCAGGTCTGGGACTTGATCCTCGGTGGGCCATGTGGGAGTCCAGTGCCCCAAGCACCATGCCACTTGCTGCCCCATCATCACATCCTTTTCAGCTTTTTTCTCCTGCCAATCATATTTTGTAATGAGCACAAGGAATAAAACGAAACAACTATAAATTCTGAGAACCCTCTGTCCAAAAAGCAGTCCCCTGCCTGTATCTGGCCTCAGAATCTGTCTTTTCATCGATCTCTTTTGTTTTTTCTATGTCCCCCCTTTTTCTTTTATACTTTTGCTATTATCTATTTTTTTCATTCTATAATACTCTATAGCCAGAATATAGGTTTTTCTGGCCATTTCATGTATTTTATAATAATTATATAAATATTTAGGCTCTTTATTATCTAGATTTTTTAAAAAATTGCTATAGGGCATGTGTGTTTGCAGAGGGCAGGACAGAGGGATGGCCACACTGCAGTCCCTTCTCCTCCATTCTCCTTTTGGGATTTTGGACATGTACATACATACATGTATGTACACATACCTGTTCTCAAGCCTCTGGGTCCATGACTGAAAAGCACAATCAGTCATGTGGGATCCAGCCACCCCCACTACCACACCAGCAGCTGGCTCTATCTATACCCTTTATTGTGGAATTTTCTATGAACATTGGCAGAAAATCTTGTGGATGCCTTTTTATTCTTGCTATTGAGAGTCCCTTAGCCACAGGGGAAAAAAACAAACCAAACCAAACCTCAAAAACAGTTATCAGGGGACCAGCAGTTAGTGTAATGGCTATGTCACTGGACTCCCACGTAGTCGACCACAGTTTGAGTCTTGGACCTGGTTGCTTAAACTCACATGTGTGTGTGTGTGTGTGTGTGCCCAAGATCCTGAGAGGAGAATGGAGGAGAAGGGATTGCAGCATGGCCATCCCCCCTGGGGAGTGATTTCTCATTTTCTGTCTCTCTATCTCTCTCTGTCTGTCTGGCGAATGCACACGCCCTATAGCAAAAACCTCTCCAAAAAAAAAAAAAAAAAAAGACGGTTATCAGCATGGTAGGGGTCATTAGGTGGCATGGTAATTAAAGGCACTGGTCTCCTATATGGCCGACTCTGGTTTCTATAGGAACTTAAAACATAATAATAAATAAAATTAAACATTCTTTTTTTAAAAAAAGCATTTATTTAAAAGGAAGCCACATCTAACTTACGTCGGGTGAGAAGAAAGCAGTTGGAACTGAAATCTGTAATTCAGTGATTTCTAAATTATTAAGTATGGGGGTTCTAACAATTACTCATTAAATATACCACATGCAAAGATTAATAACTAAAGGATTTGTAGGTTTTCAGTCCTAGGCTGTCTCTGCTTGAAGTGGGAAAGGGAAGTGGAAAGAGGTTGGGAGAATGGGAAAAGGCGGAGTGGAAATAGTAACAGTTCACAGATTTGGGGACAGGAAAGAGATTCAGGGAAGGAATTAACGTGAAAGCAAGCCCTCCTTAGCCACCATTTTAATGAGATTAACAGAAAAGGAAGTGAAATCTGTCCCCTGAGGTTCAGCTTCTCTATGTCCACACTATTTCAGGCAAAAGTGAGACCCTTTATTTATTTCATTTTTTTTGAGAGTTTTTTGCTATAGGGTGTGTGTGCTCACCAGAAAGTCAGAGACAGATAGAAAGCAAGAAATCACACACACCCCCGCCCGCCAAGGGGGACGGCCACAACACACATGGGACCTGCGTGAGTTTAACGCACCAGGTCTGGGATTTGAACCACAGTCGACTACATGGGAGTCCAGCAACATAGCCATTATGCTATCTGCTGGTCCCAAGTGAGGCCCTTTAAACATCCTTTCTTTAATAAAATCTTGTTGGCCATGGTGGTTTTGTATTCCATATTGATGCGAATCGTTTTGTCAGCTTGGCCAAGTTTACTATTTCAAGTGTAGGAGAAGCCAGAACACCAGCCTCCTTTCTTTCTGCCCCTGGAATTATACTTAATAAAGACCCGTTTTTTAAAAAAATGGATCAAATCTTCAAAACCTCACACAGTATCTGGCATGGAGCAAGTATTCCATCAGTGTTTGTTGAATTGGCCAACTTTAGAAAACGTCACTCTATGATTACTCTTGTGTGCTGCTCTGCCTTCAAGGTATGACGTTGTTCTCTTTTAGTATTAAATTAATTCACACATGCTTTCAGATATTTATTTAATGAAATAGTGAGTTTCTTCCATGAACATAGGCAAAAAAACTTTTGTCATGTATTAATGCAAGAAATATTAATAATTGAGTTTCCCCGAGTTCCTAGTTCTTTTTGTTTGTTTGTTTTTAAATTTACTATAGGGCACTTGTGCTTGCCAGAGATAGAGGAAGGGAGGGTGAGAAATCATCTCCCAAGAGGGTTGGCTACACTGTGATCCCTTCTCCATTCTCTTTTTGGGATTTTTGGGTAAGCATGCACATACTCCCAGAGTGTTTTCAAGCTACTGAGTCCAGGACTCCAACCTTGCAGTCAGCCATGTGAGATCCAGCTGCCTCCACGTGTGTGCTACCTGCTGGCCCCTAATCATTGTTGGGGTGAAATTTGAGGTGAAATTCACATCGCATGATTTTAAAGTGTACAATTCAGTGGCATTTAGTACTGGGTCATTGGAAAAGTCATGATGTATGTCTCTCTGCAAAAATGCACTAAGACTTTTCTGACAACCCAATGTATTCCCAGTACTGTGCAACCATCACCTCCGTCCAATTCCACAGCATCCCCATTGCCTCCAAGGAGACCCCGTACCCACTAAACAGTCATTCTCCATTCTCCATTCCCATTATAGGGCTCTGGGCCCCAGCAACCACCATCTGCTTTCCTCATCTGCAGGTTATTGCTTGGGATTTTGGACTGGTGGATTTAAGAGGATGGAGTACATCAAGTCTTATGTGCTGTCACTTGCCTAAGGATTGCTGGGTGCCGCATCAGAGAGCAGCTCTGATTGCTCTCGTTTCCTGAGCTGGGAGACTGTGGTAGAGAGGGGGTGGTTTCCCACAGCCCAGAGGCAAAGTCTAATACCCAGGAACTGCTAGTCAGATGGCTGGTCTGTAGAACGTGCTTCTTGATGCCGGGATGCTTTTCCTAGGATGGTTGGTCCTGATGTCATTCCACTGCCGCATATCTACGGAGCGCGGATCAAAGGCGTGGAAGTGTTCTGTCCTCTGGACCCCCCACCTCCGTATGAAGCTGTGGTGAGCCAGATGGACCAGGAGCAGGTACTGTCCACAGTCTCTTGTAGAACATTGACTACAAGTAGGAAATGCAGCAGACCTCATGGAGAACAATGGGGAAATTGTGCCCAGCAGATCGATTTTTTAAAAGAGATTTTTGCTATAGGGTGTATGTGCTTTCCAGAGAGACAGAGAGAAAGTGAGAAATCAACCCACATGGGGGAAGGCCACACCACAACCCCTTCTCCTTCATTCTTCTCTCAGACTATCGGGCACACATGCATACATGACCGGTGTGTTTCAAGCTGCAGGTTCAAGGCTCAAATCTCAGTTGGCCATGTGGGAGTCCAGCACCCTAACCACTATATCACATGCTGGCCCCCAGACAGAGATTTTTAAGGAGATCACTGGGGGGCCAGTGAGAGGTGAGTTGAACATCAACGACAGAGTTTTTAAGGAGATCACTGGGGGCCAGTGAGAGGTGAGTTGAACATCAACAATATTACCCTCTTTTTTTTCTCTACAATGCAGGGATCCTCATTCCAAGTGCCAGAAGGATCAGGAGCTACTGCAAGTGCATTGGAACCAGTCTGCGCAGAAGTGACTCAAGGTGACAGATGCATTTTCACTTCCCCAAGCCGTGATCCGGTAGATTAAAACACGATAAAATAATGATCTGTCGGTATTTTGTTGGACGTCAGATATCCTTGGGGCAAATGGTGTAGGTTACTTTCCAGGTACAAAAGTACTAGGTCCTAATCAGAGATTAGAAGGGGGAGATAACATGTGAATAGAAAAAAAAAAGATATTCATAAAATCTTTTATGAAAAGCCCGACTATTCTCAGGAGCCTCTGAAATAGATTACAGAGTTTAATTTGGCATGCTCATGTTTTACAATCTGTAATTTCCTTTCTTCTGTTAAAAGGAGCTCTTTTCAAAGGAAATGAGTTTCATTTATTGCAGGGTGGCTTGCTGTGAGGTCGTGCTGTGTCATTTACAGCTTAGGGTCCAGGCCAAGTTGCCTTCGCACCTAGTGAATTCTGATTTTTCAGTCCTGCATTAAATACCGGAGTCAGTTTACGTTTATCCTCGTGATTTAAGGGAACATCACTATACCTTTCTCTCTTTGAGGTGGTTTTAAATGGCCCAGAGAATTGTCCACTAGGACAAAATTGCAGATGGTAATTAATAATGGATCAGCTTAGCTATTTTCGATGGAGGTAATTTTTCAGCAGTGCCATTTGGAATGGGCCTCTGTTCCACTGTAGGTAGGGTTATGAAGGCGTATTCTGTTATCCTACTTGTTTGTGATTCTTCCGTTTTAAAAAAAGCTTCCCAACCCAAAATACAAGCTCACACATAACGGGATTTTAATTTTCCTGAGAGACGTCATTCAGTTCCAGAATTGTTTTTCTACTTCTTTTAGTGGCTACTGGCTTCACCACGGCATTCTGGGGGGTTCCAGCCCGGCTGCGCTCTGGGTTATGCAGCGGAGCCCTCTGCCAGCATTCGGCCTGCAGCCGGTGGGCCGCCCCCTCACTTGCACAGATATTGCCTTCCAAGGACCCAAGCTTATCTTGAATTGTCAGAAACTATTAATATAACATGCCTGGGAGTGTCTCAGTGCTGTACCAGGCTGCTTTTATGATAAAGATTCTAAATATCTTTAGAAAAAACTGACATTTGGCTTGATGTTCTAGACCATTCTGTTGCTAATAACAGGAGTTTGGGTAATTTAAGAGAACAGAGGATTACTTTGCTCTTGGTTGAAGTGCCAAGGTCCAGGGCTTTCTTGGTGGGGCGTCCCGAGGTGGCACGTGGCATGTGGCACAGGGTGGGTGAGAAGCTGTGTCCACACGTCTCATTTCCTCTCTGCATAAATCCACCTGGTCACGGGGCCCACCCTGATGCCTGAGTGCTTCCCAGAGGCCCCATCTTTTGACCCTGTGATTGGATCAAGTCCACCCTCTCTACACCATTACAGTGGTTCACCACATTGTAATACTTTTTTTTTTTTATTATTATCATAATCTTCTTTATATTACATTGGATTACATATAACTTTACATTGACTTCCATTGCTTTTTCAAAAGGGAATGCCATGCATGTCAGTCAATACAGAGGCATCGATCTCCCCGCTTTATCATTCAAAGTCTTTTCCATGCATTTCCCAATAATTATTATTATTATAATTTTTTAAAACAGTCAATCACTATTTCTCATTTTGCTTGTTAAAAGATTTCACCCATCATGAAATACTTCCCAGACCAGTCCAGTTGAGAATACTATACACGTCATCTTCAACAGATAATAAACCATATCTGTTTCTCACTAACATCCCCTCTATTGTTCACTTGCTATCTTTCTCTATCCTCTTCTCTTTTTTTTTTATAGTTTATTTTTTATTAATTATAACTTTTTTTTAGCTCACACATAACGGGATTTTAATTTTCCTGAGAGACGTCATTCAGTTCCAGAATGGTTTTTCTACTTCTTTTAGTGGCTACTGGCTTCACCACGGCATTCCGGGGGGTTCCAGCCCGGCTGCGCTCTGGGTTATGCAGCGGAGCCCTCTGCCAGCATTCGGCCTGCAGCCGGTGGGCCGCCCCCTCACTTGCACAGATATTGCCTTCCAAGGACCCAAGCTTATCTTGAATTGTCAGAAACTATTAATATAACATGCCTGGGAGTGTCTCAGTGCTGTACCAGGCTGCTTTTATGATAAAGATTCTAAATATCTTTAGAAAAAACTGACATTTGGCTTGATGTTCTAGACCATTCTGTTGCTAATAACAGGAGTTTGGGTAATTTAAGAGAACAGAGGATTACTTTGCTCTTGGTTGAAGTGCCAAGGTCCAGGGCTTTCTTGGTGGGGCGTCCCGAGGTGGCACGTGGCATGTGGCACAGGGTGGGTGAGAAGCTGTGTCCACACGTCTCATTTCCTCTCTGCATAAATCCACCTGGTCACGGGGCCCACCCTGATGCCTGAGTGCTTCCCAGAGGCCCCATCTTTTGACCCTGTGATTGGATCAAGTCCACCCTCTCTACACCATTACAGTGGTTCACCACATTGTAATACCTTTTTAATTTTGAGGGCACATACTTGAACCATGCCAGTTGGCTTCTTTATTTGGCTCTTGGACTTCATGTTTTTGGTCTGTTCGAGGTGTGGAGAGGTGGTGTGGGGAGGCAGGTTTTCCCGTAGTGCTGGGAAAGAAAAACTGACTGGGCCAGCAGCCCAAGTAAATGTTGTGAAGGGTGTTACCCCTCGCCCCTGCAGGTCTGGGCTCACAGGTGTTTCCTGCCCAGTGTTTTGAAGGCTGCAGCTGGTGAAATAATTTATGTTTCTTCCCTTAAAAAAAAAAATCAGGTGAGGACATTCCTAACACACCTGGAGAAGAGAACACATTCATATCCACGCCCCCCTCAAACCTCGGACATCCTGTGAGAAGCCGGAGAGCCCTCCCACCCCTGAGGACCAGATCCAGGAGTGATCCTGTGCTCCATCATTCTGAGGATAGAGGTGATTTCACCCCCCACGCTCTCTGCAAAGCCCTCTGCCTATTTGCCTAAAGATGCCAGGTCAGAACAGGTCTTTCTGGCCAGTCTGAGACCCTGCAATTTAAGAGCTAGCTTGAAAGAAGTGAGTTATTGGGGAGGTGAGATACTCTATGAGCACCTTAGGGATATACATCTGCTTAGTCTTTGAAGACTTGTAAGAGGCATTTGAGTTTTGTTCGTTTGTTTAGTTTTTTTGCTATAGGGTGCGTGTGCTCACAGATGTGAGGGGTTGGGAGAGGCAAAGTGAGAAATCCTACCTCCCCGCACCCCCGCGGTGATGGTCACACCTCAATCCCTTCTCCTTCATTCTCCTCTTGGGATTTTGGACATGTACACAGATGCAACCAGTGTGATTTTCAAGCCACCAGGTCCAGGATTTGAACAGTGGTCTGTCACGTGGGAGTCCAGCATCTTAACCATCATGCTACCTGCTGGCCCCTTTGGGTTGTTTTTTAAAACTCATTATCATCTGTCATCAAATACGTTTGGTTGCACATGATATTGTACTAGGCATTACATGAAGAAAATGATGCAAACCTAGCTCTAATTTCTAGATGCTTGCAAATCCCATGGAAATACACATTCTTCTTAAGGAAAGAGTCAAAGGGGTGTATTTTTAAGATTGTTTTTTAATGTCTTCCATAAAAGAGAAAGACAGAGAAGCACTCCCAACAGAGCCTTCATGCCACGATCCACCCACTTCCACTCTCAGCCGGCCCAGATCATGGGCACATTTGCACACCAGGCCTGCTTAGGGAGGACTTGGGGTGCAGAGCCAGGAACTTTCCCACGGGGGTCTAGCTGTGTTACCAGGCTGTGATCACCTGGCTCAAGGGGATATATTTGGTTTTTACTCCCTACTCTATAATATTTATATACTGTGTGTGAACAGATAGAATTATTGAAATCTGACCTTTTTCAAAGAACCGTGGATAAGGTAAAACACACATGCTCATCCCCTTTATCTCTCTCCTGTCTGTTTTGAGTTTATTTGTGTATAAATGTTAAATGAAAAATCTAAAATGTTAAAATCATAGCATGAACTCTTTTCTTTTTCTCGGTATATAAATACCTGAACATCTCCAAATTTCTCTTCATTATAGGGAATTATAAAAAGGAAGGAAATTTAAAAAAAAAATCAAACTTTTTTTTTTTTATTTCTCAGTGTGCATGAACTATTTTAATAGGGGGCCTCTGCTCTTCTAAAACTCTGTGGGAATAAAACTTCACAAATCCTCTGTCCCAGGTCCTGTCTAGAGCACTGGCTCTCTCTGGTTCATCCCTCTGACAGCGTGTCGCTTGCCCTCCTGAACTGACTGTGTGGGAGTCAGAGAGGATGCTCCTCCTGTCTCCACAGTGGCTTCTGAATGAGGAGGAGGTCCCATGGCCTGGTCCACATGCACCTCCGTGACCCCAGCAGGCTTTCTGGAACCCATTCCCATTACGCAGCCCTGCCACAGGGAGGACAGTGTGTGTTCCCCTGTGGGAGCCCTCAACTGTGGAAGGCCCCAGGTCGCCTTCAAGTGAATGAGGGCAGACCTTGACTCTGTTCTCACTCTTGAGTATCTTTGCAAATGTTTCCAGAAGATGCTTATTCTGTGTGACATGCAAGGGACAGCCTGGAGGACAGCTTCTACTCCTGGTTTAGAGCTTCTCATGCTTTTCTCCAGAACAAGAGTGCTTCCCTTCCTCCACCTGCTCTTTCAGCCCTGCTTTCTGTCTTCCTTGAATATCCAAATTCCTACGTGTTGGGCCTTTGCAGACTGAAGTTGCTGGCCTTGTGTACCCTGAAGGCGCTGGCTGGCTTGTGGACATGGGGAGACCAGACCTGAGTTGCATTTGACCCACCGCACAGTGTAAGAACATTCTGCTGGTCTTTACACCCTCGCTGCTGTAGGTAGCCGTGGAAATTAAAGCCTTCGACGGAGTTCCCAGGCCTTCTTGGATTCCAGGATGACATGTGATTTTTCTACACCTAAAGTTATTTCTGTAACAGTCAGCCATAGGAATACCTCATAGCCATGACGTGAGCTTCGAGCATAAATCAGTACAATGTCCTTGAGGATGTTTAGGGCAAAGGTACAGTCAAAGTGAACAGAGCATTATATTCATCCCACAAGCCTTGTCTCTCTTTAAGTGGTTCCTTCATCCCCCTCCCTTGGAACTTTCTCTCATTGGTCAACCATGGTTTTCTGCTCGGCCTGCCCATCTCCATCCATTTGCTGTACTTCATGAAATTCACTCTATTTGGTTTACATTCTGGATTCTTATCTCATCGGTCTTTATATTGGGTGCTATGTTTTCTGTGATGCGATTCAATGTTTTGGGCCATATCCTATTGGAACCGTACTCCTGGGAATCGGCTTTTGTCATAATTGATTTTTTGTTGTTGTTGTTCCTTTCCCCTTTTTGAGATGAAAAGCGAGATGTGCATGGCTGACACCATTCTTCAGCTGCTTTCCATGTGGGGTTCCGTGGTCGGTGCTGTTTCAGTTGCAGGCCTATGTTCAGGGCCTTGTCCAATGGGTACATGTTGTCTCTCTGCCCACAGCGGCCCCAGTGCTCAGCTGTGAAGCTGCGACTCAGACTGAGCGGAGACTGGATCTGGCTGCGGTGACTCTGAGGAGAGGCCTGAGATCGAGAGCTTCGCGAAGCAGACCGCGGTCCTTGATAGATTACAGATCGTACATGGACACCAAGCTGCTGGTGGCGCGGTTCCTGGAGCAGTCCTCCTGCAGTATGACCCCGGACATCCATGAACTTGTAGAGAACATTAAGTCTGTGCTGAAGTCTGACGAGGAGCACATGGAGGAAGCCATCACAAGTGCCAGTTTCCTAGAACAGGTAGTTGTATTATTAACATTGGGCATGAGTCAGATAACGCGTTTCCATAGCAGTTTGAGTGGCTTCTCCGATTTCCTGTTCAGAGCAGATAAGTTCATGGTCAAGGTCTCAGGAGAAATGGGGTTAGGAGGTCAGGGGAGGGGGAGAGAGGAAATGGGAGAGCTCTTGTTCCAGGTGTGGTGAGTTTTCTACAGTGATCCTGGCCCAAAGGGAAGGGAACCCAGTTTTTCTGGGATATGGAAGCTGGTCTGGAGAAAGAGTAGGGTGGGATGGGAATAAAGCAAAGGATACAGGCAGTGTGGAAAGCATTGACTTCCTAAATCGAAGGTTTCCCTTGATGTGGCGTGTTTTCTCAGCTCTTTAAAAATGTTGACATAGATGACTTTTAATATGGCAAGATTCTGGGAGCTGTTTATCTTCCCATGAAATGTTCGGCAAGATAAATGACCTGCTAGGACCTAGAGGAATAAAGGCCTTTTCCGTTTCTTAGATTAAAAGGTACAGAGCCAGAGCCACCCAGGGAAAATATAAAACTGGTTATGAACATAATCCATTTGGGTCTCGGGTTTCTCATCTTTAAAGTGAGAGGCTGGACGAAGTCGTCTTTATACCTGTGTCTCTGAATGAAGGAGTTTACTTCTGCTGAGAACCTTCTAGTCACCGCTTTTCTTTTTTTAATTGCCAGAGGGTCTGTGCCTTTGCCAGAAAGAGAGAGAGAGAGTGGGAGGGAGGGTGAGAGACACAGAGAGAAAGAGAGAGAGAGAAATGACCCTCACAGAGGGTGTGGTCTCACCACATTCTCTTCTCCACGTCTCTATGCTGTTGAGATTCTGGGTATGCACACACCATCTGGATGCTTTTCAAGCGTCCAGGGCTGGGATTTTAAACCATGGTCAGTCATATGGAATTCTGCATCCATAGCCATGAGCTATGGGCCAGGCACCATCCGCCTCTTTCAAGATTTTAAATCATGGTCGGTCATATGGAATTCTGCATCCATAGCCATTAGCTATGGGCCAGGCACCATCCGCCTCTTTCAAAAGCCAATAGCTTTTAGGTATTTACTCCATTGTTGTAGGTACTGGAGTGAATGCTGTAGACACAGGTACAGTGTGATTTTTTTTTGATACATGAATATAATGTGTAATGATCAACTCAGAGTAATTAGCATAGGTATCCCCTCCAACATTCATCATTAGTTTGTTCTGGAAGCATTCAGAATCCTTTTTTCTTTATTTTGAAATAAACTGCATTGTTAACTGTAGTTACTCTACTGAACTGTAGAACACTAGAACTTACGGGATTTTCTTCTTAATCATGTGACAAGAATGGGCTGAAAAGACAAATATAATTAATAGAGTGCTAGCAAAATTTTATATCCCATATTTTGGGACAGATGAACCTTTCATTGACCTTAAGGCTCAGACTGGTACAAACTGAAAAGTCGTTCAAATGACTTTTTTGTGATGTTACATAGTAATAAATGTCCTGAGTTTCCCCCAAGGAAACTTAAAAATTATTTGATTCTATTTGTAATTATTTTTTAATTTGACCAGAGAGAGAAAGGGAAAGTAAGAAAGTAAGTCACCAGGGACCAGCAGTTAGCGAAATGGCTATGTTGCTGGACTCCCATGTGGTCGACTGCGGTTCGCGTCCCAGACCCGGTGACTTAAACTCACACCGGGCGCATGTGCGTGCGTGCCCAAGGTCCCGAGAGGAGAATGGAGGAGAAGGGATTGCAGTGTGGCCATCCCCTCTGGGGGGTGATTTCTCGCTTTCTCTCTGTCTCTCTCTGTCTTTCTGGCAAGCGCACGTGCCCTATAGCAAAAACCTCTCCAAAAAAAGAAAGTAAGTTACCAGACCCAGGACTTGAACTGTGGTCAGCCATGTGGGAGTCCAGCACCTTAACCGCCATGTCACCTGCCAGTCCCCGTTAATAGATTTTAGAAGTAAGTTGGACTCATTTTTATGTTTGATAGAGGGTTATCAGGTCCATCGGAAGCATTGTTAGTTTGGGCTGACTTTCTTTTTTTTAAAGAATTATTTATTTGGGACCAGCAGTTAGCGTAATGGTTATGTTGCTGAACTCCCATGTAGTGGACGTGGTTCGAGTCCCGGACCCAGTGGCTTAAACTCATGCCAGGACCATGTGCATGCGTGCCCAAGATCCTGAGAGGAGAATGGAGGAGTAGGGATTGCGGCGTGGCCATTCCACTGGGGGGTGATTTCTTACTTTCTACCTCTCTGTCTCTCTCTCTGTCTTTCTGGTGAGTGCACGCGCCCTATAGCAAAAACCTCTCCCCCCTAAAAAAGAATTATTTATTTAATTTCATTTACTCATTCATTTATTTTCATTTGACCAGAGAAAGACAGACACACAAGAGAGAAGGAAAGTGAGAAAGCAAGCCACCAGGTCCAGAACTTGAACCACGGTTGGCCATTGTGGGAGTGTCCAGCGTCTTAACGACCACACCACCTGCTGGCCTCTGGGCTGACGTTTTATAAACTAATTACCTGGTCACAACCTCAGACCGGGGCTTTCCACGTGTTCAAGTGCATCAGCCTCACGTGGGTTCTTATTAAAACTATAGATGCTGGAGCCCACGCCAGATGTGAGAACTGCTAGGGGGCAGCTGGGAATCTACCTTTCTGAGAGGCTTCCACCCTGACCACCACCCTAGTACCATGCAGGGCCTGATGAGAATCACAGCTTAGACCACAGGGCAGTTGGAGGAGGTGATGAAAAGAATGCCCAGTCACAAAATAAGACCTTGCAATTGACAGGCCAGATAAGCTGCAGGTCTACAGCGGAAACAAGAGACCATATGGAGACTGTTAGTAAGTTTAAAAGGTAGGATATTTAAGGTATCTCTGGAATTCCAAGTGAGTCCCACTTTGGAAAGAACCCTTTTTCCTTTCCTGCGTCAATTAAACATTAAAGTACACGGATAGATGAAGGACTGGCAGGCAAAGGGCCACATCTCCTGACACTTAACCTCTCCCCACCCCCTTATTCTCCCAAAGATAATGGCCCCGTTGCAGCCCAGCACCTCCAGGGCCCACGTGCTGCCCTCCCGGAGACAGCCTGGCCTGCTGCACCTGCGGAGCTGCGGTGACCTGAGTACCTTCGCCCCAGCGGGGAGGCCACGGGTGGAGAGGAGGCCACGGCGAGCCGAGGCTGAGCGCCCACACAGCCTCATTGGGGTCATCCGAGAGACTGTCCTGTGAGCCTGGAAGATGACGGCCACTGCAAGGGGCCAGCTCCCAGCTCCCTCCTCAATGTGCGATTCCTCGCTGGCAGCCCAGGTGCCCCTCTGGGAACTGCTTAAAAAGAGGAGTACTCTGGGGACATTTACTCCTGCTCTTCGGCTCCCCTTTTGCTGACCAAGGGTGAACGAGGAGGTTCTTCTGGACCCACTCAGGGTTTGGACACATGGAAGGGGAGGGTGCGAAGGTAGTGACTCTCAGTCCTCCCGTCCTCTGTGGCGGCGTCTCGCAGCAATCCCGAGTCACATCCCCGTGTGGGCGGAGACTGGCCTAGGACTCTTCTCTTCGCCCTCCTCATCCCTTCTGCCTCCCTTTGTTGTCCAGTTCTTTTTCTCTTGGAATGACAGAGCTGCTGGGCTGCTATTTATAGCCATGGAGGCCTTTCACTGCTTGTGAGAGAGGAATTGGCAGGAAACACGGTGATAAACCCCAATGTGTCTGCAATCCTCAAGCCTCGGTTTAGGATACTCTCAAATCACACTCTGTTTAGGAAAAACAACACTTTTTTAAGTGGTAAATTTTAATGAAAGCCATTTAGGGAGACAATGATTATTGATTCCATTTATTCATGCTTGCAAAACTAGAGACACCGAAGGCAGAACTGAGAATAAACGTGTTTACTTTGGACATCTGGGCTCGGTGTCAACGTTCGTTTATGCCTGTGGGGCCAGCCTGAGCTTAGGAAGAGTCTGGAGCTCAGGCTGTGGTGGCCAGGTGCCCTCCGCAGGACCCCAGCTCACATTAATCTCCAAAGCACCCAACCCGCTTGGATGACAATGTGTCCTTTACTCATCAAGCACACACTTTGCTGGAGGGCTTCTTGGAGCTGCGTTCCAGCCAGATGTGAACGGTAAACTGACAGTGTAGCTACACGTTGGGGATCATTGCTGAGAAGGAAGCGGGTGGTCAGGGACAGGTTTTTGAGAGAATGGCATTTGAGGTGAGAGGTGACTTTGGGAGCCAGGGAAGAGTGTTCCAGGCAGGGGGAGAGGGTAAGAGCACTGGGGGCCACTGCGAGCATTTCCTAGTCGGGGGAGGGTGGGCAGGAGCCTCACTGGGCGGTTTAGGTCAGGTACGTAGGGTGGACGTGGGGAGCTGGACAACGGGTACGGTAAGTACAGTATTCGGTCTTGCCCACCCCACCTGTGCCCCAGGCTATGCTAAGGGCTTTGCTCGCTCTCCTTTCATGCTCGAAGCAGCCTGGGACCTGGGGGTCATTTCTGTCCTCACTTTGCAGATGAGGACACGAGCTTCAGTAACCCACACAGAAGCCACAAGGTCGAGCCAACACTTGCACCCACACAGTCCTGCTCCACATCGTCCTTGAACTCCCATGCAGTGGTTGGCTTTTTTCTGGTTCCTGTGAGAAAGTGGGTGCGAGGACTTCTAGCTTGGCCCCCTGGAGCACAGAGTCCCCTGGCCCCAGGCCATGTCAGAGTGGGAACTGAGGTGGGGCTAGAGGCGGAGAGAAGAGGGGCAGGACGGTTTAGAGGCACTGAGCTGGGGTGAAACGGATCTGGACATGGGGGACAGATAGGCAGCTGTGGATGAGGTCTGGCCCGCTCCCCTTGGGTGGGCAGGGTGTGGAAGCAATCCACAGGGGCTTCCCAGAAGGACATATTCCTGTTTCCATCCTCCTGACTCCAGGCACTGAGATCTTCATGCAAACACATGGTCTTCCCGTTTCTCTGTAAGTCTTTGTTGTCAGCACTGTAGTTCCTCGCTGGGGGCTGGCCCACCCCTGGCCTCACTTTGCAGATGAGGCCCTACCTTCTTTAAGGGTCCCCATTGTGTCACAAGCTTCCGGCCTCCCTGTCACTCCTGACTCTCCCAGGCCTCCCCATGCAGCCCAGTCTAGTGGCACCCCTCCTTTGCAGCTCCTGATTGGCTCCTGCCCTATTTCTTCAGGTGAGGCTGGAGCTCACCATGTGGTTGGCCTGTCTCACCTCTGAGGCTTCTGGTTTTTCCCACTGTGGGCGGGCATTTTCTCCCAGCTGCATCCCCTTGCAGCTTCCCTTCTGAACCCCTTCCTGCCCTTCACCTGCTACCACAGGCCCCCTGTGGGCCCAGAAGGCTCTGGGTAGACAAGTGGCACTGTGAGTGAGGACATGTGATTCATTTCTCTGTTACCGTGCCTGGGTGCAACATACATATAAATATTTTAAGGATTCGTGGTGTTACATACACATGCTCATAGGTTACTGAATGTCCGTGAGGATGGCGCTGTTTTGCACTTGGAGTACCTTAGAGTCTACAGTTTAGAGGTGCTGACGAAGCATTTCAAATATGGTTATCATAATTACAGCAGAGGGACCAGCAGATGACGTAGTGGTTACATCGCTGGACTCCCACATGGCTGACTGTGGTTCGAGTCTCAGACCTGGTGGCTTGAAAATCACAATGGGTGCATGAGTGTGTGTGGCCAAGATCACAGGAGGAGAATGGAGGAGAAGGGATTACAGTATGGCCATCCCCCCCCGGGGGGGGGGGATTTCTCATTTTTCCCTCTCACTGTCTCTATTTCTCTCTCTAGTGTGCGCATGTGTCCTAAGGCAAAAACCTCTCAAAACAAAATTATGCTAGAGGGTCGATTAATGAGGACTGTTCGAAATAACTCTTCACCCGTGAAAAGTAAGTGCTGTTCAGTCTGCGCAGCTGGGCACACGGGAGGGTTCTCATTACCTCTGCATCAAGGACGTGGAAGATCTGGCCCCACTGCATGGGCTCGCCAAGGCCCAGACCGGGGCCGGCTGCTCCATCAGATGGTGTTGTCTTGGCCTCAGCGTCTGCGGATGGAGAACAGGACCTTCCCAAGCTTACAGACGCAGACTCTTCTGTACAGCCCTGCCAATGCGTGTGTCCGGCTGGCAGAAGTGCCCCAAGACTTGGTTCTTTTAGAATGTCCACTTGATGAAGGGGTGGGGGGAGGAGCCTGTGGCCTCTCATTGCCTGAGGCCACCCATAGTTACTAAAAACCCCAGACATTTGCTGAACAGCCACATTGGCTAGACCCGGGCGTTCTCTCCTTGTACCTGGCAGACAAGGACACTGAGGCCCAGCACTAAGAGGAGGGCAGAGGCAGGACGCCAGCACGTCCATCTCCCGGGCCAGGGCTGCGGCTCTGATCTGTCTGACGGTCACTATTCGGGATGAAGGAATTGTTCTTCCCCCATCTGTCGTGAACCCCAAACTTTGATAAATTATCATTGCTCGACTTCACAGGGAAATGAAATGGTGGCAATAAAAAAGATATAAAGTACACCACCCTTTTATTTTGTTATTCTATTTTATTAAGTTTAGGTTTTTACAATAGAGTGCTTGTGCTTGCAGAAAGAGACAGTGAGGGGGAAAGTGAGACATCAACGCCAGGGAGGTTGGCCACACCCTTCTCCATCTCCTCCTGGGATTTGGGGCATACATGCACACGTGCCCTGGGTGATTTTCAAGCTACTGGCTATAGTCACATATGTGCAGATCCAGCGACTTAACCACTGTGCCACCTGCTTCCTCCTCCCCCACTCTTTAGACTGACTGTAGAGCAGTTTTAGGTTCACAATGAAGGCAAGAGGAAACTACAGAGATTTCTGATATGGACCCCCACCATGCACAGTGTCCTGTTACCCTCACCCAGAGTCTGCGCTTCACATTGGGCTTCACTCTTGGTGCTGCACATGGGTTTGGACCCAGGTGTGAGGACATGCCCCACCTCTCTAGTGCAGTCATCTCACTGCCCTGAATGTCCTCCGAGCTGCATGTCCTTTCTCGGTACCTCTAGCCTCTGGCAACCCCGCCGACTTTTTCCTGTCTCCGTAGATCTACTCTTCCAGAATGTCATGGAGTTGGAAGCATACAGTATGTAGCCTTTTCAGATGGGCTTCTGAGCATATGCACCTGTGGTTCCTCCATGTCTTTTCATGACTTGATGATTCATTCAAACCTTCTTAAATTATTCAGTTTGGTAGTCAAGAGTGCTCAAGCCAATGAACTTCTCAAAATGCCCACCCTCATTTTCTAGACTTAATTCTCATCAGGGACTGGGAACCAACAGGTCTGAGGCCCACACTGGATCAGCGCTGCTCTGTCCCTCCTCTAGACAGAGTCTCCCAGCTTTCTGGCACAGGGTTAGGGTTGGTGGAGAGAAAATCAGTAAGAGGAACCATCAGGGTTAGGGCAACATCTTGATAGACCAATCCAATAGAACTCTTGCTGAAGGCAGGCCAGGTGACCAGATGTCACTGTGGGGAATAAGGAATGTGGTCAGATATCGAGGGTGAGGTTTCTTTGATAAACCAACTTAGCAGGTTTCTTGTTGAAACTGGACCAAGCAGGTCAGGAGCTATTCTGTGTGGTAGGCCTTAGGGTCATGGAGGAAGAGAATGGGAAGGCACCAGTGGGCAGATGCCCTTCCTTCTGCACCTGCCTCTCAGTCCCCAAGGCTGCCTGTGAGCCAAGACTCCTCTTCCTAGAGGTCCAACGTCCCAGGCTTCAGCAAATCCCTGAGGATTAGGAAGACCTGGCAGAGGGAAGAGGGAGCTGCTGCCAGATTCCCACCCAGCGGGAGAGGAATTCTGGAAGAGGAACAAAGGAGGCCCTCTCCACCTCCCTCTGCTGCTGCGGGATCCAGAAGAGAACAGTGAAGGGGTTGAGGAAGTGGCCTGGACAAGGCCAGCTTGTCTCCATAGTGTTCCTCCCTGGGGCCTTTGCTAAGGAAGCCAAAGTTGGGGGCCAACAGGGACTATAATTCTCCCCTTTGGTCCCTGCAGGAGGCTTCATCCTCTCATTCAGTCAACAGGTATTTATTGAGCTAAGGCTACCAGGCAGTGGGCCAGGTGCTGAAGAGAAAATGCTGAGCAAGAAGGGGACTCACACACACATAATTAATGCAGTCACCTTCCTCTTGGCTGCTGATGAGCTGTTCCCTGGCCCCAGGAAGGGGAGGAGGAGCCAAGAAGCTGACACTGGAGTCTAGTGTCCTGTGCCTGGTTTATCTGGAGACTGGATTGAGGGGATCCCTCATCCCCAATTATGAAACACCTTGACATGGAAGTCCCAGGGTGAAGGTCTACAGAACCCGTGGCAGAAGGGGCTCACCATGTTGGGTATTCTTAAAGAAAAATTATTCACGATACTAGTTAAAGAGGATAAGGAAAACTCGAGAAGGGGCTACTGCATTGGGGTTTTGCGGTAGGGGAGAGAGGTCAGACTCGACCCCAAATACAAGGACAAGTGGAGATTTGCAGCCAAGGAACAGGGTTAAAGTTGGTGGAAAGAAAATTAGTAAGAGGAACCATCAGGCTTAGGGAAACATCTTGATGACCAATTTAAGAGAACTTTTGCTAAAGGCAGGCCGGGTGACCAGATATCACTGTGGGGAATAAAGAATGTGGTCAGATACCAAGTTGATAAACCAATTTAGCAGGTTTCTTGTTGAAACCAGACCAAGCAGGTCAAGAGCAGAGGCCAAAAATCCAAACTCAAGAGAGCCTGACTCAAGGTTGTTAGAGTGTCTTTGTCAGACTCTGAAGAGCACCTTTTCTTTTGAGAGGCATGTGCCTCTCTGGCTTGTCCCTGCCACAGTGGGAATGCTTTTTTTATTCCAACATCTGGCCCGATTTCTTGGGTTTGCCCTGACAA